ATTTATGTAATAAAATATCATGAATTTAATAATGTATTAGTCAAATATTTATGTTAATAATAGCAAATTTATATCAATTGTCGATAATGTCAGCGTTCTTCGATTACCTCCGGGCCCTTGGGGCCCTTTTTATACCGGCGAAAATTTGCCCAGGGTTGACGGTTTTTAATAATATCTCGTCGGTGGTAAAGGTAAATAACGATCTCCAATACCAACCGGACATGATTGACAACGAGCGTAGTGAGGGCGAAAACGCTACGAAGCGCGCGTATCGTTCCGTTTCGTCCCGTCCGAGTAGGCGAGTACTCGGAGTAAACACGAAGCGGAGGCGCCGCGCTCGCACACCTCATGCTTGTGCTTGCTGGTTGCTGGCACTCGCGGTAGTCCGTCTAACGTCATAAGAATTCCTCCTCGAGCGACAGGGCGAGAGGTGGAGAGAGTTAACAGTCAAGACTCCGTGTCTGTTGGCATCGCGTCGCGTTGCGTCGCGTCCGCTCGAAAGGTGGCCGAACGACGGCGACGGTATTCGCGTTTGTTGTTGCCGCAGGACGCTCAGACGTCAGAGACGCTTTAATGTGCATGGGGCGAGTGCGGGGCATGCTCGTAGCGGGTGCAGATGGTCGCGGTAGTCGCCGCGGCGTCGGCGGCAAAACTGCGGCAACTGCGCTCGCGTCAACAAAATGTCAAACCAGTCAAACGTCAGCTCGCTCAGCCTCAGCTCGCTGTCGGAGCGACTCGTGAACGGTGAGAGGAACAGCGTCAACGCTGCTGGTGCCGCCACCGGCGCTGTCAGTGGCAACGCCGGCTGCGGGGCGAAAGGAGGAAAGGGCAGTTGCGTGAGTGGTGGAAGTGTCTTTGATTCTTACAGTGGTGCCGTCAGTGGCGTCGGTGCCGGTAGTACTGGTAGTGGTAATAATAGTAAGAATAATAATAATACTGATATCATTGGTAACGGCGGCGTACTCGTTGTTACCGGCGGCGTCATCGGTGGCGCCGCGGACGGTCCCCGCGACGTGACGTTGTCCGACGCCTTCCGCGACACGACGCCAGTGAATTTCTGCCGCGAGACAACAGTACCGCGTACCTGCGGCGGCGACCGTCGTTGTTGCACCTACGCTGTCGACGCGTTATTATCCTCAGTGACAGGAGCTACGACGTGCTTGGCCAACGGTGGCGGGGACGACGTCGCTGACGACGACGACGACGACGTCGCCGCAACGTCGATCAACTGCCACGAGATTACATTGAACAGCGCTGGAACCAGGACAACGACGACGACAACGACGACGCCGTTGCTGCTGGACGCCGGTAGCGTCGACGCGAGAACGATCGGCAGAAGTAGGAACAGAAACAGCAACAATCCTACAAACTCCACTGCCGTCGTCATTGTTGACGTCGCGCCGTCGTTTCACAACGACGACGACGACGAGGATAACGACGACGACGACGAACACGACGACGAATCCGACGACGACGAGGACGAGGACGACGACGAGGATAACGACGACGACGACGACGAAGACGAAGAAGAAGAAGAAGACGACGAAGAAGACGAGGACCGTCGCCGCTATCACGATCGCGGCAAGATGGTCGCGGCGATGAACGAGCACCTGTCGAACGCTACGACGACGACAACGTCGTCCCCACCGGCGGTAGCGAACGCCATCCGCAATACCATCGCAATGTCATCGTCGTCGTCTTCATCGTCGTCATCATCGTTGTCGTCGTCGTCCTCGGTATCGTCGGCTATGATGACAGCGACTACAACAAACGCCGGTGGCAATCCTTCCGCCACGATGATGACGATGAGCAGTGTCGGGAGCGGTGCCAATAGTAACAATAACAACGCCGGCGGCGGTGGATGCACTAGCGCGCGCAATCAGGAGTTCCAAGAGATGGACGGCGACGGCAAGAGCACCAGCGGCAACACCACTGCCGCCGGTATCCACAGTTTTCCATGTGACTTCGATCATATGTATGCCAGCATGACCGACGGTGCTGCGCCGGCTGCCGCTCTCGGCGTCAGTCCGCTGCGCGGCAATGAGCCTCGTCACAATGATCTCACCGAGGTCAAACACCTCAAGGAGCTGCTATTGCTCCACCTCGACCTCATCCAGCAGCAGTCCGAGCAGATCGTCACCAAGGACAAACTCCTCGCCGCGCTACGTCAGGAAAACGAGACGGTACGCGAAAAGTCTCTCCTTTCGCAAGCTGTCGGAGAAAATAAGAATTCTCTCTTTGTTGTCGATTTAGATCGAGAAATTGAAAATTCTCCGGTCTGTACGTAGAAAGGGATTTTCTTGATTTGATCTTTCAAATGGAGCTGTACTCTGTATGCGATTCTTTTACGTAAACATGTGCCTTTTATCGGTAATTTAATTTAATTGTGTGACGACGTTACATTAGGTAAACAGAAAAATGTTTAAATCTACCTCTGATTCTCCCAAGTCTTTTTACGATCGCAGAATCGAACCGATTGCTAATGAATGCTTTTGAATGCACCTATCTTATATGATACCGTTCGATGTTTATATTATCGTAAATATCGTAGATCGCGAGGAATCTTTCGATCTCCGTGAGAATGCTGCGATTGCTTTAACCTCAAGTCGAAAGATGCGGAATGAGGTGAAGTGAGTGGCGATGAGTCATCGATCGAGTTTTCAATTCAAATCCCAATTCGTCCTCCAATCCCGTTCACCGACCGTCTGATTTTTGCGTAAGCGTCCGCGACAATTGCGTCACGTGTACTCGAAAAGGACTCCAAAACGCCGAGACAGCGATTCCGAGGTGAAGCCGAAGGAATTCCGACGAAAAACGCATTCGCGAGAATCGCGTGAAATTTGGAGCAAAGTGATATTCCGTTTTATAGCAAAGTGAAATTCCGATTCGCGAAATAGCTACTTGCTCAAAGTATACGACACATATGTTTCGCAGCTGCCTCCGAAATAGAAATATGCGTTGAAATTTGTATTTGCTCCAAGTCGCAATCTCACGCCAGAGAGAAAAATCGTAGATGTCAACAGCAGCTTCGAGCGGTTTGGTCCTCTTTCGCTCGCTCTCTCCTCGCTGTCATTGTCGAGAAGTAAGAAAAAGGTTCGAGCGTCTCACCCTAACCTGAGTATACGTCGTGCGTCTTCCCGTTCGCCACAGTTCGCCAGTTCCGCTCTTTTTCTGATTACCGAACGCCGCGCCGGCGACGAGTTTGGCACCATTTTGTAAAAACGCGCTGCGCGCACATGCGGCCGCGAGTGTCAATTCCCGCCTTTCCCCTCTCGCATAGCCTGCCTAACCTAAATGTACCACGCGGGGAACAGGTTGACCGTGAAGGTCAACTTGCGCGATGTCAACACGTGGTGGCGCTACTTCCGCATTGAGACCGCGCGCGAGAACGGAAGAGGGAGGAAGAGAGAGAATGCATGTGAGAATGTAAGCGTAGAACGAGCGTGAGAGACGAGCGAGATTTTCTCCGTGGGAGTGACGATGTTCTCGGTGTTTTTCGCGATTTGAAAATGACAGTTGAATCGAAGGGGTAATCGCGATCGCGTCGTGAAACAAAGTAAGTAAAATCTTCATCGTGTAATCGGTGCAGAACGATCCCGTTTCTCGAGCTGTGTCCAATAGCGATACGTGTCTCGTCGTTCCGTCAACGGCGCGAATGACAGGGCGCCAGTCTATCAAATTAACCTCCCTTGCCGCGAACGCGAGGGTAACGACATCCAGATTGATTCCCGAAGTGAATTAAGATGATTTGCGAGGAGAGAAAGCCAGTGTACAGAAGGGTGTGCACGAGAAGTGTAAATAAATCTCTGTATACATATACGATTGACGCGTTTAGGTATTGTGCCAATGATGAAATGATGTTTTGACTTGTCTGTTGCAGCTGAAACTGCGTTTGGAACGTATGGAAAGGCGTGTAAACCTTCAGAAACTGAGATCTGAATGTAGCGAGAATTCTACCGGTTCGGATCATTTAGGCGCCTGCTCGCCCACCAGTGTCAATTCAGTGAATATACCTTCGACCAGCGAACTGCATAGAAACGTTCAGTGCGAGAGTAGCAACAGTAGCAACATCTTGCACGAGACCTTTAAAATACGTCTAAACACTAGTGGCGGTATCACCACTGTTAAACAAGAACCACACGATAATCAAATTAAATTGGAAGTCAAACAAGAGCCTAATAACGAGGCGAGGTTTGAATGGGAAGAGAAAAAGAAGAGACGATCTGATCCAACTCCCTTGTCTATAGGTAGTAAAAAGAAAAGGGGTCTCTCTTGTTCATCTACTATCAGTAACGACGGAGTGCAAGAAAAGATATTAGGTCAGACGTTGCACGAAACCAGTAGAAAGAGCGACAGGAAGTCAAAATCTCTTGTGAAAAAGGAATCCTTTCTCACGACAGAGGAACATTATTATACAGCTGTAGGAGATCCAACTTATACGTTAAACATGAAACAGTTTAGCCCAGTAGAAACGAGTAATTCGTTAGAAGTTCCAAATTGGAGAATAAAGGTGTACACGAGTTGTTATACAATGGAGGGAACCGAGAATTTGGACGATGAAATTTTTAATAAGAGACATTTGAAATTAGAGAACGATGAAAGGAGGCGAAAGCGATGGGATGTACAAAGGATAAGGTTCGTAAAATTTGTTCACAATCTTCTCTTTAAAAACAATATAGTATGACTTACATATTCTATCGTATTATTAGGGAACAAAGGCATATAGAAAAGTTGAAGCAACGACAAGAACGTCAAAATCATCAAGCTACGTGTTATAATACAAATCATACTGGTCCTTGTCCATCATCCATGGAAGAGGAAACCATAACTTCCCTGTGGCCTGATATAGAACAAATTCAAAGTCTTCAAGTAGATCTTCATTTGCCAGTAACTGCATTTGGCGCACCTATTCCTAGTTTTACTCCGTGGTAAAAAAAAAGTCTACTTTTTAAATGTACACAAATTTTACATATTATTGCATCAAGTACTAATTAGCATAATTTTTATCTTTCAGCGAATTCTCTTTACCCTGGTCGAATATAACACGAATAAAGTGTCGACGTCCTAAACGTTCAACAAGTAGAAGAAAATCTACAGGTAGAAGAAAAATTTAAGAGATATAAATTTTTATAAAATTGGACAGAACTGATTTTATCGGTACCGTCAGTTTTAAACTCTTAAAAATACTACTGCTCCCTCTCACGCCATAATTGAAACAGCGTTTTTCGTTGCAAAATAGGGGCACCAAAGATATTTTTACTGACTTTTTAAACACATGCGATATAATATAGTTTATCTATTTTTTCTACATTTTTTTATTTAAGTAAATTCATCGTCAATATTTGTTTGATACATCTATTCTATATTTTGTACTCGGTGTTGGTCATTTTATTTATATAACCATGAATAGATATCACATAACGTAACGAAATATCCATCCGGCATATTGAACATTTTTCAACTCCAGACTAGATTTCAGTTTCATTTTCAGTGACGATATTGATATTTGCAAAACTTTTTTACTATTCCAATTATATGGAATACTTTATATTATTTTTGTAATTAAACGTTCTTTGTTATTAATTATTAAAAAATCATTAACTACCATGTATGTTAATACTATACACCTGATAAAAATACATTGTAAGATACAATGTTACACAAAGCGGAAGAAAATACAATGAATTTTTAAATTTTGTGTAGCTTCTTTTGATATTTTATAAATTCTGCATTTCTTAATAAAACATTGTAATGATACATATTCTTGAAAAATTAAGCATTGCTGCCGAATTGCGTTTGAATAACTCCAAAATTGACAGTACAAATGTATAGAATGTTTCAGAAAATACGCGCTTCCTCCTAAACAAATTTTTTTACAAAATTAACATTTCCTTCATGAAAATTTGATGGCCTAATGAAATAATTTTCATGGACTTTTCATGAAGGAAATATTAACGTCAAAAAAATTTGTAACTAAAAGAAACTGGATCGTCTTTTGATACAATCTGTATGCTGTACAACTATTGGATTACTAATAAGATTGATATAAAGCAACATAAGCGACATCGATATTGTTATATCATCTGTTATTTTTGCTCCCAAGCATGTTGAACGCTGAACGTTAAAATCCGAGAAGTAGGCGGAGAAGAACTTCAGACATCGTAAACGATTGTAAAGTCATTGATATCGCGAGTAATAGTCCAATTTTAATGATCTGAGGTACAAGGTTCTTTGAGTAACACGATTTTAGTACAATTAGTTCGATTAAATTTAACTATACTGACATGGTGCGCGCATTATATATTTAGTAAATAAAATTATATGTAAATTTTTCATTCGTGGTATCTTCAAATACTGATACATTTGTTGACACAGTTATTTTATGGTTCTGTCGTAATACATGTATACACAGAGTGTCCTGGACTGATGTAAAGACTGGAACAACGCGCGCTTAAAGGGAGATTCCTAAGATTATTTTAAGACGAAAATTCTAATACCAAAATGTCGAGATTATAATAGTTTTTGAACTATAAGCATTTAAAGTTAGCGAATTATACCTAAAATTTGCACGTTCGAATAACGACGCAAAATGCTAAAAATGAAAGCTAATTATTGGCTCTTGTAAGTATTTCTAATTATTGATATTTATTTTATGTTAAAAAAAAATATTTTCCCTCTCAACATTTTGATATTAGGATTTTCATCTCAAAATGATCTCAGGAATCTCTCCTTAATCGTTGTTCCAGTCTTTATGGAACACCCTGTATGTACATATATGTATATTACATTCGATCCGAGATGATTTGTGATAATTTCGATTTTATTTGTGAAGAAACTGTAGTCTTACGAATGAACGGATGGACGTAAATAATAATTTGAGCAGATGCCAACACATTATTTTCGCATGTTCAGTCTGCTGAATATCAGATAATTTTTTATACATGGTATCTGATCCATAATAATTTGTCTTGAATGAATAAAAATGAAAATTGTATATATTTTTCCTTAGAGATAGGTTTTTTACGTTCTATTTTTAAGGTGTGTATATATAGGGTGTCCCATTTAAAAGGATCCACTTAAATATCTCAGAAACACTGCGTTAAATCGAAAAATATTTTAAATAAAGCATAAAGTTTTTTTACTTTGAGGATTTATAATATTGATTTAACCTTGGGTGGCGTTATCGAGGTCAGGGCAAGGTCAATCTTATGTTCCTCTTGAACTAAAAAAATTTGTCTGAAACATTTTTCGATTTAACGTGTTTCTGAGATATTTGAGTGGATCCTTTCAAATGGGACACCCTATTCTGTAAAATAATATATTAACCGTCCATGAAAACTAATAGAATTTCATGAACAAAACAGCATTTGATGCTACGATACTACGAATGTAATTATCAATATCTTGTAAATGACAACTTTTTTAGCTGTGGAATTACTAATTGAGTTCTTAGTACATCTATAAATATATACGACACATAAATATATACGCTTTGTGAGAAAAAGAATATATAAATTATTATTTTCTAATGTATATGCATCAACAGAGAGAATTTTGTTACGTCGGCAGATGTACTGTGTGTCAAAAGTTGTATGAAAGTTTCTAAAAAGGACGTAGGGAGAACTAGGTTCTCCAATGTCACATTCGCCTTAAACGTCCTATTATGTAATATAACATCGAGTACATTTTAGAAATAAAAAAGGACATTGAATTAATGGCTCTGTTCGATGTGCACAAATTCCCTAATTCAAATTTTAATTCATCTTTAAAGCTTGCGCATGCGGATGCAGTGAAACGAGAATCGACGATGACGAGATGTAGACTTCACTTACTGTGAGTTTATGCTCTAGATATCTTTATCAACAGGTAAGAAAATTATCGATAAATAAAAATTATTTTTCAAGAAGAGTGAAGAGTGGATGATATGTAAAAAGAAAATTATTTAGGAAATAATAAATTATTCAGAGGAAAAAAAATAAATATTTCAGTTATCCTGCATATTAAGGTCCACTAAGGATCGGTTGAAAAGCGTTCTGGATGATGGCATCTCAAAAGCACTTTCTGTGCACGATAAATGGTCCTAGCTCGTCGTACTCCTGCCTAGAAATCCACATCTGCTGAAACGTACTGAGACTAGCGAGGATCGAGCCGCCGATCCACACCGAATATTTCCTTTCAGGCGGCGCAATTACTTTGATCTTCATGGTGGGTGGCGCGAGCTTCGCTATCTCTATCTGCATCCGATCGGCGATGCCCGGATACATGGTAGTGCCGCCCGAAAGCACCAAATTGGCGTACAAATCCTTGCGGATGTCGACGTCACACTTCATGATCGAATTATACGTCGTCTCGTGTATGCCGCAAGATTCCATGCCCAGAACACTTGGCCGAAACATTGCTTCCGGGCAACGGAAGCGCTCGCTACCGATTGTTATGACCTGGAATCAAACCGTTATCCGTTATTTCTTCGTCCACTGACCGCGCGGCTAGCCATGACGAGTTAACACTCACTCGACGCAAATGCGCGCGATTAATGCTAATGAGCGTACACTCCCATTATCGTAGTGTTCATTACATTCAGACTACAACTATCTGTATTTCTTTGTATCTATAATTCAGACGTCACTTTTAAATCATCGTAAATTAAAACTAGCTTTATAATAAAGTTAGTAGTCTAATTAAAAAATTTTTGGCTCTCAAAAAATGTTAGATTTTTTTAAAGCATAATTTCTTAATAAAAGATCTAATCACTATTGAAAAATCTTCGTTTGTGTTGATTACATGAAAACGTTGCATTCGTAAAACGAGTTAAATAACGCATTACCTGGCCATCCGGTAATTCGTAGCTCTTTTCTAGGTCGTTTGCAGTCTCTATATCACAATGAAAGTCTAAGGCAACGTAACACAGCTTCTCCTTGATGTCACGCACGATTTCACGCTCAGCGGTAGTTGTAAAGGTGTAGCCTCTTTCGGTCAGAATTTTCATCAGGTAATCTGTTAAGTCGCGGCCGGCTAGATCCAAGCGTAAAATTGCATGAGGTAAAGCGTATCCTGAAGAAAAAGAAAAAAATTATTGCAACATTAAACGTCACACAACAATTGACATTGATTCTCTTTAAATCGCACGGCATTAATGACTATACCATGAGAAATCGAAGCGAGTAAAGAGGGATATACCTTCGTAAATCGGTACTGTATGAGACACTCCATCACCGCTGTCTAGCACTATTCCAGTCGTACGTCCTGACGCATATAAAGATAGAACAGCTTGAATGGCAACGTACATAGCTGGAGTGTTGAAGGTCTCAAACATGATCTGCGTCATTTTCTCGCGGTTGGCCTTGGGGTTTAGAGGAGCCTCCGTCAACAAAACGGGATGCTCCTCTGGTGCGACTCTTAATTCATTATAGAATGTATGATGCCAGATCTTCTCCATGTCATCCCAATTAGTGACAACACCGTGCTCTATAGGATATTTAACAGTGAGAACTCCCCGTTTACTCTGCGCCTCGTCACCTACGTAACTGTCCTTTTGTCCCATGCCGACCATAATTCCCTAAAAATACTCATGATTAGAATATGTATTTAATTATATAGATTTAATTCAGATAATTCATCTATCAGATAAACTATATTTTTTTGTACCTGATATCGAGGTCTTCCAACAATAGAAGGAAATACAGCTCGAGGAGCGTCATCCCCGGCAAATCCGGCTTTACACATTCCAGATCCATTGTCAATTACCAACGCGGCTACGTCGTCGTCACACATTTTAGAACAATATTAAGCAAGTGACTTTACAGCAATGTATCAAAGCAGGATGCGAACTGTTTTTATAACAAATAAATAGAACAACTGAGAGACTAGATGGTACAACGTTCTCGCGTAACATTAGCTTCTAAAGCATTGCGTTTCTTCCTAGAAGAGTTGCTTTATATGAGCTCCCCTTCTTCCGCCCACAGATCCACGCACACATCTATCTCTTTTTATGTGATGACCAGAAATGAATAACATTTTAAATAGGCTTAACACTACCATTTCCTTTAATAGATATAATTAATAGATATAGAAAGAACATTTTCGCTTATTGTTAAAAAAAAAGATTTACAAGTGGACTGATTTTGGTAAAATTTGTTTATAAATTCGTAAATTACATAATGAATGTAATTAATAACGAAAAATATAATTTGTAAATATAATATATAGCTTTTAACATAGTTATATAACGTAGCTTTAACATTTAAAATAACGTGCGCATAAATGATACGAATAAAAATATATTTAACGATATAT